CTTCATGCATAACAGTGCCACTTAACATTTTGAAGAAAGAAAGGTCTAGGCTGCGTCCAGTGCTTCAGTTTTACATAACAATTATTGCGAACTGGAGCATTTGAACGAAAGTGAACTTTAAGTTTCGGTTGCACTTTGGTTCTTCGAGCCGGAATATATTGGTGCACATACTTACTTTTGCCTGGGGAGCCACCACTGAGAAAATAACAGACAGTCTAAGGGAAATGAATATTTATTCCGTCCTTAAATTAGGTACCAACAAATCACCAGTTGGAGTAAGAGGAGCTGGCAATGGGGGCTGAATAGGAGACTGGAATTCCAGCGCCGTAAGAAGAACCATAAGCCAAAGATCCAGTGCTGTAAGCCACAGAAGGAGCACTGTAGGACACAGATGGAGAACTATAGGCTACGGATGGAGCGCTGTAGGCTACAGATGGAGCGCTGTATGATACAGAAGGAGAACTGTAGGCTACAGAAGGAGCACCGTAGGCTAGAGATGAACCGCCGTAGGCTAGAGATGAACCGCCGTAGGCTAGAGATGAAGCGCCGTAGGATAGAGATGGGGCACTGTAGCTGAGTGGGACAGCTTGAGATGAGTAGGAGCTGACCAAAGGCGTAGAGTAGCTGACTGGAGCTGACAGACCCAAAGAGCTGTAGCCGGCATGGCCTAAGTTGCTAGCACTGGCTAGGGCCAATGAGGCGGCAAGGATTACGATCTGAAAACCCATTTTAAACCCCAAATCCCAAAACTTCTCGCAAAACTCACCTGGAAAACCATGTTTTTACTTAGTCGGTTGAATTTGAAATAGAACTGATACAATTCCAATGCAAACTATGGCTTTTATAGGATTTCGGCCAGTTGAATAACGATCAAACCTTGCCAAAAAAATATGAATATTTATACATTTTTGTTTTCGGCCCATTAATCCGGCCGTGAAGACGATCTGTTTTTAAGTCCATGTTGTATAAGAGCCGGTTTTTTTTATCTAAATCATCCGTTTTATGGGCTTTGTTAATTAACCATCTCGAACAGGATCCGATTTGTCATCAATTTTTACGTGTGGAAGTTTTTCAGCCGCTTCGATCCACACCGCTAGAGAAACTTTGTATGAAGTTTTCCCCAATGAATAATTAAAATTTCACCTATTGCTCTGTGTAATTCAGCCGTACAATTGTCTGAAAATGGCCATCCGAACCAGTCTGTTTCAATTCGCCAAGTATTTTATGACTTTCTGCGGCCTATGGAAAGTGCCATTTAGTCCGAAAGTCCAAAGGTTTTATGTGGTGTTTTCCAACGTTTCTCATTTTGTTTACTGCTCGTTTGTCCTGTCCCTTTTCGTTAAAGCTTTGCTGATTGTTGTGGGCTTTGAATCGTCTGATAATGTTTTTAATGCGATATCAGTGGCTGTCATCATGTTCGATATCAACTTTAAAGCGATGATTTACGTGAAATTCGGCCTTCCCAGGCTGTTCCATCAGCTTATGAAAGAAGAGCAATCGATCGAGGAAAATTCCCACCAGGAAATATCCGACTACTACCTGAGGCAATGTGAACTGTATGTGAACATTTGCACTTTGCAGCTGGTCACCACCATATTTCCTACGTATTTCTACATTCTGGTCAACATTCTGCAATTTCCTCTCGATGCGGAAAATTTCATGTACGAAATGTGGATTCCATTTCCCGTACAGTGGAAAGTTCTGGCCATCTTTAAAATCGTCATTTGCCAATATGGAATTTTTATGAACACGGCGGTTCGCAGCGCCCTTCAAAGCCTGATGATGTTCATCACCTCGCAACTGTGGATACTACAAGTCAACATCCGAAACGTCTTCAGTGAGTTCAGTGAGGAAGCGGCAAGGGAGGAACTAGGGAAACTTATACGGAAACACCAGTTTCTCATAGGGTGAGTTTCCTCAAAGAATCCAAGTCCTTTAGGGGCAGTACGTTTTTTTTTGTAGATTTGTGGAAAAAGTGAACGACTCAGTCAAGTACATTCTCCTGCTGGAATATTTGCTGGATTCCATTAATATGGCGGCTGCCATGCTCCAAATTGCAACGGTAATCTTTTCACTACTTATAAAAAGAGAAATCAATAATGTTGACTGCCTCTAAAAAATCATTTTTTGATTAAATTCAAGTGAAATTTTGGCAAAGTGGAGACCGAGCTTTTGTCTATTCGTGCTACAATTCAAAACAGCCCCACTGCTTTGCGGCCGGAAGTTCTGAATTTTTTAAAAGTGTGCAATGTTCAGAAATAGTGAGGTTTTAAGTGCAGGTTTGAGAGCATCAAAAAATCTATCGTTACTTGGATTTGAGTGAAACTTTGTCCAAGTGTAGCACAATACCTTGGCTACACTCGGTTTAATCAAAAACATCCCAGCTTGTTGGTGGCCGGGAGTTCTGAACTTTTCAAGAGTATGCAATGTTCAGAGATTGCAATGTTTCAAGTGCAAAGTTTGGAAGCCTCTAAAAAATGATGCTCTACCTAGATTTGGGGGAAATTGTGCAAAAGTGTAAAGCAATATTTTGGCTACACTCGGTACTATACAAAAGAGCCAAACTCCTTTACGGCTGGGAGTTTAGAAACATTTTGTAAAACGTGTGCAATATTCAGAAGTTGCAATTTTTCGAGTACAAGTTTGGAAGCCCCTAAAAAATCCAGCTTTTCTTAGATTTGCCTAAAAATTTGTCAGAGTGTAGACCAGTACTTTAGTTATACTCGGTACGATACGGTGTAGTCGAACTTCTTTGCGACTAGAAGTTATAATTTTTTAGAGTGTACAAGTTTCAGAAATTGCCATGGATCAATTGCAAGTTTGGAGGCTCTTAAAAAATCACTCCTAACTATGATTTTGATAAAATTAGCTCCACGTGTAGACTAGTGTCTTTTCCACACCCTATGGTATTTGGCAAGTCCTTAGTAACTTAGAATTATAATTTTTTCAGTTTTCAATCGTGCGATTTTGCGACGTTTCATGTCCAAGTTTGGATCGATCTTAAAAAACCTTCTTAACTAGAAATCGAACGGTGCGAAATTCGTTTGCAACTGATAATGCTGATTTTTTTTAATAATGTGCAATGGGTAGACAATGCGATATTTCTTGTGAAGATTGAAGATATCTCAAAAATTTGCTTTTACTTGGATTTGGGTCAAATTTTCCCAAAAAATAGTACAATATTTCGGCTATATGCCATATATATACTGCAGAGTCAATCTCGTCTATAACTGGGATTTGCGATTTTTTTTAAAGAGTGTCAATCGCCAGAAGTCCAAGTTTGAAGTCCTAGTTTGGACTCATTTTCTCCAGAGAATGAGATAAAGCGTGTGTCCAGTGTAGGCAGATATCTAGTTTACACTTTCCATTTAAAACACAGCCAACTATATCGCAACTGCGAGTTATAACTTTTTTACATGAAGCTTCTTTGTTGCAAAACTTGCACCTTTCGGGTGCAACTTAGGAGGCCTGTAGCAACTACGATATTACATAGAAATGTAGTTTCGTATCTTCTCTGTATTCTCCTTTTAAAACATATCCTAACTCTTTCGCAGCTGGGAGTTACGAGTTTTTCCCAATTAGCCAGTTTTAGATAATTGCAAACTGTCGAGTGCAGGTTTTTAGGCTGCTGGTAACTCATTCATCACCTAAAATGAAGCAAATTTTGTCCAGGTGTAAGCTCGTGTCTTGTTTAGAACTCCTTTGCAACTGGAAGTTAGGATTTTTGTTCAGTATGTAATTTTTACAAAATTGCTTTCGATCGAGCGCAGGTTTGGATACATCTGAGCATTCACGTCTAACTAGCAATGAGGTAATTTGTGGTCTGAGTGTGAACTGATACCTGACCTACACTGTTCATATAAAAAAAGAGTCTAACTCCTTCCAAACTGGAAGTGATGATTTTTACAGAATGTGAGAGTTTTACAAAATTGCTAACTTTCGGGTGCAAGTTTGGAAGCTTCGAACAACTCATTTGTGGCACAGAATAAGATCAGATTTCATCCAAGCGTAGATTGAGGTCTTCTCTACAACTTCACTTTAAAAAAACTGGCGAACTCGTTTACAACTGGGAGTGCTGATTTTGTTACATTGGTGCCATTTTTCCAAAATTGCCAACTTTCGAGTACAAGTTCGGACGCCGCTGATAACTCATCTACTACATAGAATGAGGCAATTTTTTATGCAATTGTAGACCAATATCTTGCGTACACCTTAGATGCAAAACAACAGCCCAACTCCYTTTCAACTTGGAGTTWAGAATTTTTTTTACAGTGAGCCATTTYTCGAAATTGTAAACTTTTGAGGGCAAGTTCGGAGGCCGCTGATAACTCATCTATGACTTAGATGGAGGCAGTTTTTTGTCCAGTTGTAGACCAATATCTTGCCTCTACTTTAGATATAAAAAATAGCCCAACTCCCTTGCAACTTAGAGTAAAAAAATGTTTTACTATGTACAATTTTTCAAAAATTTACACCTTTTGAGGGCAAGTTTGGCGGCCTCAGAAACATCATTCCTCAAACAGATTGGGCTCATATCTTCTCAAAACTATAGCTGGGTACCTTGTCTATATTCCGTATATATGAAACAGCCGAACTCGCTCAAGAATGGAAGTTACAATTTTTATCAAAGAGCGTGCACTGGTTCAAAAAGTTGGCAAACGAAATAAAAACAATAAAAATCCAAAARGATATTCAACTGTCGTTTTTTTCAGGCTTCAAGTGTAACAGAAATGACCTTTACTCTGGTCTATTTCATACTGTTGCTGACGCAGCTGGTGATTTTGGCTTGGAGCGCAAACGAAATTAATACTCAGGTTCAGAGTGGCTCAGAATGCAGACTCCGTTGCCTCATCGCGAATGTTTCAGAGCGTCGAGGTCTCCAATGCCATCTACCAGAGCAACTGGATGGATCAGAACAAATCCATTAAAACCACCCTGCTGATCATGCTGATCCGAGCTCAGAAGCCTTTGGGGTTGACCATTGGACCTTTCCGCTTTATGAATCTTGAGGCCAGCCTAATGGTAGTGCCTGCCACTTGAAACCAATCAAGCAACTTGCAATTTCTTGTACTTTTCAGACAATGAAAGCTTCCTACACATATTCGCGAGTTATGACGGAAACTTACGCCTAAACAGGATTATCATGCTACAATTCTATTCTTGGCGCACATTTGCTAGATTAGCTGTATAATTTTCTTTAGGGCACTTGGAAACTTTACCGTTACTAATTACTACCCATCACCAACTAAGTATTGTCTTCTTGAACCTCTTTAATGAGTAATTAAATTGCGTTGGAAAGTTTAGTGTTACTTGGAGTTTTGGTCGCATGCTTTATTGATGGGAACGTACATGGCAGCCCAATTTTCACACTAAAAACGGCTCAAATCTGCCATAGTTGAAGATTTTTTTCGAGTTCAAATTGGACTTTTACTGGCTGGAAATGGGGCTCGTTGGGGGCCAGTTCAGGCAAAAATTTTGAGCAGTGATTCGATGGTCGGTTATTTGGGCCTCTGATGCTCCCGCTAGGGGATGGATGAATATTTCAAGCCCCATTAGTTCCAGGGGGTTGGGATCAATTCAAATGAGTGCAGTTTGCAAGAATCATGGCAAAGAGCATTGTGGGCATCACAAGAGTTTTTATGATAATCATCGGACTGTGGAAGCTGCGGCTTTTCCAAGATCCGCTCAAGCAGCAGACTTATCAAGTGTACTCCATTGGAATCAAGACGGTTTTGTTTGCCATTGGAGCCTCCTCCACTTTTCGATTTTTCCAGCTCTTGAATGAAGACAATCCGAACTCCACCATCGTTTACTCCGCTCTCACCATCAACATCTTAATCTACTTGATGAGTGCCAGTGTGATCGTTTTCCTCAAGTGTGGAATTCCCGATGTTTTTGCCGAAATTCTTCTGGAGGAAACGCGGGCGCTTAACTCGGAAGATGAGGAAATCAGACAGTGCTACTTGGGCCAGGCCGGATACTATCAATTCACCTCCATCTGCCAGATTTTCGGCGCAGTTTCTTCGGCAGTGGTTTTCGTCTCTTTGAACGTCTACAATAAGGCGAATGGCTTTTTCCAGGAGCAGGAGGTTTTCATGTATCAGCTGTGGTTGCCTTTCGATCCAGATAAGCATTTTGTGGCCGTGCTCCTCATCAATTTCCTCGTGCTTTTCGTGGCCGTCAGTTGCAATGTAGCTTCAAGGGTGATCATCCAGACCCTGATCATTTTCGCCATCTCGCAGCTGCGGATCTTGCAAATTCTCCTCAGAAAGGTGTTTTCCCAGGACGAAACTCAGCTGAAGAGGCTGATTAGGAAGCACCAAAAGCTCATTAGGCAAGTGGAGGTTTTTCCGAATTGGGCAGGTTTTGATGGATTTTTCCAAATTTTGCAGGTTTGTGGAATTTTTGAATGATTCCCTGAAGAACCTCATCTGGATTGAGTACATGATCAACACCGTCAGTGTGGCGGCAGGCCTTTTGCATATTATAACGGTAATTTTTATTAAATTTGTACTTCCACATCGCACGGCATCTGGACCAATTGGGAAATTTTCCAGGCTTCAACACTTTTTGAACGCGTTTACTCCTCCTTTCATTTTGTGCTCTTAACCGTGCAAGTTTTCGTCCTGGCTTGGAGTGCGAATGAAATCAACATACAGGTTAGTACCTACTGCAGGGGTTTTTTCCCACATTCAGATGGAAAAACGTGGAATTTTTAAGAGTACCAAAGTGGCCCACGCGGCCTTCTACAGCAACTGGATCGATCAGACAGAGCAAACGAAGAAAATCATCCACATTATCATAATGCGCGCTCAGAAGCCTCTGGTGTTGAAAATCGGCATGTTTCGCCCCATGAATGCTGAGTCTGCGGTCATTGTAAGCAAATTTTCTGAACTACTGAAAAACTTTCTGAGTTCCACTTTTCCAGACCATGAAAGGGGCCTACACCTACGCCTCAGTAATGCTTCAGAAGTACTCGTAAAAAACTGCTTTCTGGCTTAGTTGGAATGTGAAATTTTCTAATGTAGTAAACGCTTTATTATGCAAGTTACTCCCAGTTAGTATTTGTGGGGGGATTTCAACGGCAAGGGGCGTTTGGGGAATTAATCATTCATAAAGTGCCAATAAATGGAAAAAAATATTTTCTTGAGATCCTAAAGCGGCAATTAGTTGGCCAGTTGTTAATATTCCCCGTTCAACATCTGGTGAGTTCTAGTGATAATTTGGGTGTAAAAATGTTCTTTTAATGAAATAAGGTATGAAAAGGAAAAAAGTCGAGCAAATTCTGAACATAGTATTAAATAGTGCAGGAAATTTCACATTTATAAGGTGGTATTCATTTTTCTACAATGTAGCATAAGCGGGCCACTGACGGTTTTTCGGCTTCAGATTCACTTTCAAAAGAAGCTTAGATATTGTGGTTTCGTGCTGATTTTATTCGGGCTCTGTAGAATTTGTCTTTAAAATTCCTTTGGATGCAAATGCAGCTAATTGATCAGGAGTAATATTTTTGTCAAGTTTTCCAGGAAACTGAAGTTTTAATAGAAAACGGTTGTTTTACTTGAGCGCGGGATACTAGCGGGCTCTATTTTTGAATCTGAACACGACAGCTCGATTCTAAGTATACCATTGGAAAGAGGGGTTCAATTATCGTTAAAAAGTTGGTAAACACTTTTTTTTTGAATCAAATATTGCGAGCTTTTGGGAATTTTTGAATTTTGGCTCCAATTTTTATTATGGGGCTCAAAACGGGCAAAATTTTTTTGGTGTCGCATTGAAATTAATTTTTCTTGAATTTCTGGAAAGAATCAAAAAAATTATTGTCGCATTCAAGTGCGCTCAGTTGACAACCAATTGAGAATTTTATGGAAGTTTAAAACTTCAGCTTGCACAGGGTTTCCAAAATTTCATCCATAGTTTGGCCATCAAATTTTTTGCAAACCAATGTAACCCTCTTTCCCATGTAACTTTTCCACATTTAACACCCAGTTGAGTAAAAAGTCTGCAAACCAAAAAATTCTACTTCCTGAACCTTGGAATTTTGGTCAATTTTCACATTTCAATTTTTTTTCGGAAACTAAAATTTCTGTCAAAAACCATTATTCTTTATAAAATCTGGGTCATTTCAACGGCCAGCCAATGGGAATTTTTCAAATCTGTCCAATGAGCGGTTTTTTTAAAAATGCCCAAAAACTGATTTTCGAAAATCTCTTTCATAGTTCCAAAATTTTTTTCAAACCAATTTAACCCACTTTCCCATGTAACTTTTCCACATTTAACACCCAGTTGAGTAAAAAATACGCAAAACAAATTTAAATTTTTTGGGCCAAAAATTTCTATGCCTAAATCTTGGAGTTTTGGTCAAGTTTCACATGTCAATTTTTTTTCGGAAACTAAGATTTCTGTCAAAAAACATTATTCTTTATAAAATCTGCGTCATTTCGACGGCCAGCCAGTGGGAATTTTTCAAATCTTTCTAATGAGCGGTTTTTTTAAAAATGCCCAAGAACTGATTTCCAAATATCCTCAATATCTCCGAAGAAAAAACTCGTGGCACGCCGCTGGATAGGAGGAGGCATTTGCGATTAAAACGCTGATATTCACTTTTTCTCTAAATTAAATAAAAAGGGAGACACTGAAGATTTTTGCATTTCGGCCCCAATTTTCTTGGCCCAGTGCCTCAAAAACAAAATTTCAATTTTCCAACCAGATTTTAATGTAAACCCGACAAAAACATCCGGATGGTTCATTTTAACATACTGATTTGCAAAAGGACCATTTTTAGTGAATCCAAAGTTTCCACTTTCGTCTGCAAAGTTTCCATCTCTTCCCACCACTCATTTAAAAAAAATTCTCAAACCTCACACCAGAAAGAAAATTCTCAGCACGCCACTGAACAGACTAACTCAAAGTCTGTTTTCTCGGAAAAATACAGATAATTTTAGTGCAACTTTGAACAGAAACTCTGTTATTAGAGCGTCCTGCAAATTAACTGGAAACTTTACACTCCGACGTTAGTTGGGAAAACTTTGCAATAAACGTATTAATTTATTAACGCGTGTTTTCCTGGAGTTTCAGGCAACATGGCGATAAGCCTCTATATGGTAGCCAAGTGGTTCATGCTCCCAACTGGAGTCTGGAAACTGTCCATATCCCCAAACCCTTCGACTCGAACCATCTATTCCATCTACTCGGTGGTCATCCAGAGCCTCTATATTATGTACAATGCATCTATGTTGATTCGCCTGATCCAGATGTGGGGCAAATACCCAATGGCCGAATTGTACGTGTTCCTCACCTTAACCATCCTGATCCTGGAAATCAACTACAAGATAATGATCTACTTGAAGAATGGCATTCCGCAGATGTTTGCCACTGTTATTGAACGCGAAGAATCAGTCCTTAACAGTGAAGATGGCGAAATGAAGAAGATTTACCTGAGCAGAGTCAAGTACTACAAGTTCGCCACATTCTGCCAGTGCTTCTGCAGCGGCTTTGGGATCTCGTGGTTCGTCATCATCAACATCTACACCAAATACTACATGCAGGTGAAAGTGGACCATTTTATGTACGAGCTTTGGTTCCCATTCGACAAGGAAAAACACGACACTTTTGTGGCTGGCTACAATGTAGTCATGGCGTTCTATGGGTTTCTGTTCAATTGCGCCTCGCAAACTCCCCTGCAGACCCTCATGGTGTTTTCAGCAGCCCAGCTGGAGATTCTACAGCTGAAATTGAGCAGGAGCTTTGAAGAGACGGTGAGCAGCGAAGAAGCAAAGCTGGAGCATGTGAAGAAGCTTATCCGGGAACATCAGTTCTTGATCCAGTAAATCTCCCAACCAATAGAACAGAGGCAAGAGAAGTTATGGTTTTAATATTTGTTGCAGATTCGTCACCAATCTGAATGAGGCCATCAAATACACCATTCTTCTAGAGTTTGCAGTTGAGTCGGTGCATGGAGCCGGCGCGCTTCTTCAGCTGATTTCGGTAAGCAGATTGTATTCTACATACAATGAGTAATTTGAAGAGGAAACCAATCAATTTCAGACCAAAAAGGCCATAGAGATTCCTTATGCGCTGATGTACTTGTCGTTGCTGGTCATTAACATGAGCGCCTTGGCATGGAGTGCCAACGAAGTGACCACACAGGTTTTCTGAGTGCCTTTGCTCAGACTTAGCAAACGATCATTAATTTTTCAGAGCGAGAACGTGACAGTTGGAGTCTACGGAAGCAACTGGACGGCTCAGAGCGCGCCTTTGAAGAAGCTACTGCTGATGGTGCTGATGCGCGCTCAGAAGCCCCTCTCTATCGACGTCGGCCCGTTTCGGCCAATGAACAATGAGGCCGCTCTCATGGTAACTTTCTCTCTCCTGCCCATTCCCTCTGTTTATTTGAGCTAATTTTTCAGACAGCCAAAGGCTCCTACACCTACGCCCAATTCATGATCCACTCCAGGTCAATCAGCAAGTAAACCACGCAAATGAAACCCTCAGAATAACTAAAGAAAATAATTTAATAAATACACAATTAGCGGCAAATTATATGAAAGTTCAGTTCAGCCCTCCATGCGCGCCTCAATAATGGTATTCGATGCCGTAACCCTGGAAGGTGGTGTGGGCGACAGCCTCGGCTGGCGAGTAGGAGATTGCGGCACTTTTGGTCACCACTGGAGCTCCGTATGCGGCCACAGGCGCCTTAGCGATCAGCTGAGCTGGGGCTCCGTAGGAGACTACTGGGGCTGGTGCTGCGTAGCTCTTGGCAACCAAAGGGGCTCCGTAGGAGACCACCTGGGGCGCAGCGGCGTAGCTCTTGGTAACCAAAGGGGCTCCATAGGAGACCACCTGAGGAGCAGGGGCGTAGCTCTTGGAAACCAAAGGGGCTCCATAGGACACCACTTGAGCGGGAGCACCGTAGGTTTTGGTCACCAAGGGAGCTCCGTAAGAGACAACTGGGGATGGTGCTGCGTAGGCTCTGGTCTCCACTGGGGCTCCATAGGAGACCACTTGAGCTGGGGCGGCATAGGCGGCCTTAGTCACCAGCGGGGCCGAGTAGGAGAGCTACATCAGAAAAATCAGCTTCCACTCCTCCAAACACCCTTCCAATCTTACCTGGGCAGGCGCGTAAGCCAGAGCGTCATTGGTGAATCGGGTGTCGTACTTGCGCACGGTGGAGTAAGCACTGTCTACAGCCTTAGAGTAAGTGGAGAGCGATTGGCCGCCGCCCAGCGACCGAGTGACGGACTGTTGGGTGAGTCCCACGGAGGGAGAGTGAACAGCCACAGGGCCGGTTTGGTAGGCCAGAGGCTGGGCTTGGTAGGCTACAGGCTGGGCTGTAGTGGGAGTAAGCAGGTAGTGGTTAGCATATGCTGGAGTCACAGGGACAGCGGACTTACCAGTTAACGTAGGGGCTGCGTAGGTTTTAGCGTAGGCAACTGGGGCGGAGGCTTGCTGGAAATAGCTGCTGCTTACCGCTGGCGCTGAGGAGTATTGCACAGCGGGCTGGGCAAGAAGCTGGCCAGCATGGGCGTAAGCGAGGGTAAGGGCAAGGATTACGAACTGAAACGCAAACAAACACTGTGAATGGAGGACGGAGGAAAGCAAACGGGGTTGTGCGGAATAGGGAGCTTTTGAAGACTCAGCTACAGCTATTTAATAAACTGCTGACTGAGATGAACGCAGGTAGTAAGTGAATCTTCAGTGGCTTTACTCAAAGAAATTGCGACTAGATGTAGAAAATATGAAAGACATTAAGAAGGATTGAGTAAGAGAGAAAACATCTATTTAAGGGCACACTCAAAGGTAAAGCCGTATACTGCTAAAAAAAAGTTGCCGAAGATGTGGAGAAATGGAGGAGAACGTAGAAGGACAACGAACATCAGCCTGATCGGAAAAATATAAAAGTATGGCATGAAAATATAAAAGTTAAATTTCCGAAGAGAAACCAGCTGAAAAATAAATTTACACAAAACTTCCTAAATTCCAACAAAAACGACGATTTTGAGCTGAAAAGATACTTTTCAGAAGCTAGAAAAACACGTTTGTGATGTTTAGACCAACTTTGTACGACAAAGTTAAATTTCCGAAGAGAAACCAGCTGAAAAATAAATTTGCACAAAACTTCCTAAATAAAAGTGTATGAAAAAGTTCAGAAGTCAGGAAAAACCGTTTAAAACATTGAAATATTGGAGGAAAAACTATGTAAAATCCAGCAAAAGTTGCGGAAAAATCCTTGTTTTATCTACTCAACAAAACAAGCAATGAACAAAAGCTATTTGACCAAAAAAGCACTTACTTTGAACGCCATTGTGGTAAATGAACAATTGATAAGCTTGAATGAACTGATGATATTGTCGAAATTTCGCCGATTTTTATAGTAATCGGGCGGCCTAATGGGGCCCAGAAAACCCATAGGGGGGCCCATCCATAAAATCGCCGTCTCGTCTCTGTTACACATGCGAGAAGGCGTGTTACTTTCCCTTTCTATTAGTCCGGTTCAGATTGATCTCGTTACAGGTTATCAGGTGAAATGAATCGAAAAAAATAATAATAAAAGAACCACATTATGTAACTGCATGCGAGCGTCTTGTTCGAGGGACATTCGACGGAAATCTGTCAATTTCAATGTTCGTATGCGAGAAAATTGGATTTTTTTCATCAAAATTCAAATTCGAACAAGTTGCCCGGGCTTAAAAGTGGTTTTTCCTGGAAACTTTCTGCCCATTTCATCGCTGTATCAAATAAAATGCGCAGGGTGATTTCAAAAATCCCCGACTATCCTGTCGATATGTACACACAGAGCCTGAAAGCCCCAGAAAAATGAAAATTAGAGGGAATTAGCTGAAAATCTCTCTGAGAAGAGCCCCCGAACCAGTTTGGGTATTCTGGGTGAAGGTCTAGGTTGGGGCGAGTCTGCTGGCCAAGCCAAATAGCCTTTTAATTGCAACTCGAAGCCAATAAGATGTTTCGTAAGCCATCGAACGACCACATTTGCATTCAATGAATTATAATGATTTGCCTCTGAAGTTTTGTAACAGTTTATCGTGTAATGGGAGTGACCGATCCACAACTTTAGCTGCCATTATTCAGACCAATCTCCAACTTGCGGTCTTCATCAGCCCGAATTCGGCCCAATTTCATTGCATAACTCCGCATTATATAAAGCGACTGTTCAGATTTTCCTTCAAAAATTCTGATTTTTTAATGACTGTAATGGCAAAGCCCCGCAATTAGCCGCACAAGGTGATTGAATGTAAAAAAAACATAAAAATGGGTGGAACCGCGCAACAATCCATCAACATCTTTGCCAAAAACCGGTCAATCTGGCTCAACTTGAACATTCACGGGGTCGTTTCAAAACTTTAATTATATCATGTTTCCAATCGTTGCAAGGCCGATTTTTTCGAACAGACCTGTTCATTTTCTTACTTTTCTTTTTATATAGTCCGTATATTCTCATATAGTCTTCTCTTCTTATATATAAGTCTTACATTTCTTCACATATATTTAGCAGGAATTACAGCCCTTTAGTTGCTTCGAGCTTTACACGGAGAATTTTTGGATACAGCTTGCACACTTTTGATAGAGAAATTTAGATTGAAAATGTTGAGTCTGCCCTGTTTAAAAGACAGTTCAATAGCGAAGATTTTTAGAAAAATCCCAAAATTCACTGGAACCTAATAGAGGTTTTAAACCCTGCCACCCAATAGAGCCAATACTTCTCTATATTCAGCAAAAATTATAGCGCTCTATCTAATGCTGCAGCGTGCGAATTTGATAAACAGATTCTGCACACTTTCAACGAAGAAGAGTCGAAGCTTGAAACGGGGCGTCGAATAGAGCCAACTTCGCTCTATATCCTGTAAAAATTTCCCAGCTCTATCTGCTAAGAGCTTAAGAGGACAAATTTTTAAAACAGCGTCTGCACTGTTTAAAAGACAGGTCGATAGCGTCGATTTTTGGAAAAATTCCAAAAATTCACTGGAACCCATTAGAGGTTTCAAACCCTGCCACTCAATAGAACCAATATTTCTCTATATTTAACGACAACTACTACAATGCTCTATCTAATTAGAGCTGCAGGGCGCGGATTTGTTAAACAGATTCTGCACACTTTTAAAGAGGGATTGGAGATTGAAGAAGTTTTAGAAACTGCCCCAATTCACTCGAGCTGAGTCGAAGTCTGAAACGGAGACATCTAATAAAGCCAACTTTGCTCTATCTCCTGTAAAAGTTTGCGCGTTTTAACTGCTAAGAGCTGAATAGGGCTAATTTTTAAGGCAGGTCGATTACGAAGATTTTTACAAAAATGCCAAAATTCACTGGAACCTGTTGAAGGTTTGAAACCCTCTCACGCAATAGAGCCGATATTTCTCTATATTTGACAAAAATTACAGCGCTCTATCTAATTAGAGCTGCAGAGCGCAATTTGTTAAACAGATTCTGCACACTTAAAGAAGAATTTAAGCTTAGTCGACGTTTGAAACGGAAGCGTCCAATAAATCCAACTTTGCTCTATCTCCTGTCAAAATTTCCGAGCTCTATCTGCTAAGAGCCTAATAACGCGAATTTTTAAACAGAGTCTGTATTGTTTAAACGATAGGTCGCTGGCAAAGATTTTTGGCAAAATTCCAAAAATTCGCTGGAACTCATTAGAGTTTTCAAACCCTGCCACCCAATAGAGCCAATATTGCTCTATATTTAACAAAAATGGCAGAGCTCTATATAATTACAGCTGCAGAGAGCGAATTTCTTAAACAGAATCTGTGCACTTTTAACGAAGAATTCGAAATTGAAGATCTTTCAGAAGCTGCCCAAATTCACTCGAGCTGAGTCGAAGTTTGAAACGGAGGCGTCCAATAAAGCCAACTTTGCTCCATATCCTGTACAAATTTCCGAGCTCCATCTGCTAAGAGCTTAAGAGGGCGAATTTTGAAATAGAGTCTGCACTGTTTATTAAAAGACAGGTCGATAACAAAGATTTTTACAAAAATGCCAAAATTAAGTGGAACCTGTTAAAAAATTACAGCGCTCTATCTAATTAGAGCTGCAGAGCGCGAATTTGATAAACAGGTTCTGCACACTTTGAAAGAAGAATTCGAGATTGAAGATTTTTCAGAAACTGCCCAAATTCACTCGAGCTAAGTCGAAGTTTGAAACGGAGGCGTCCAATAAAGCCAACTTTGCTCCATATCCTGTCAGAATTTCCGAGCTCCATCTGCTAAGAGCTTAAGAGGGCGAATTTTAAAATAGAGTGTGCACTGTTTAAAAGACAGATAGCGAAGATTTTTGGAAAAATCCCAAGATCCACTGAAACCTAATATAGCTTTGAAACCCTACTACCCAATGGAGCCAATATTTCTCTATGTTTAACAAAAATTACAGCGCTCTATCTAATTAGAGCTGCATAGCACGAACTTGTTAAACAGATTCTGCACACTTTTAAAGAAGATATGGACATTGAAAATTTTTTAGAAACTACCCAAATTTACTCGAGTTGAGTTGAAGTTTGAAACGGAGGCTTCCAATAAAGCCAACTTTTCTCTATATCCTATAAAAATGTCCGAGCTCTATCTGCTAAGAGCTTAAGAGGGCGAATTTTTAAAACAGAGTCTGCACTGTATAAAAGACAGTTCAATAGCGAAAATTTCTTCCCCGAAAGAAACCCGAGTTTATGCTAATTGGGGCCATTCAATGTTAAATTAATCGATTCATCGTAGGCTGTTACCTAACAAAGCGAAAACAAATGATTCTAATACCTAGATGTTGTGAAATGTTGGCGATTTTTTACAAGTGGGTGGATTTATTGTGAAACTCGAACGGTGAATTGAATTAAAGCATCTCCTCCCATATGGTCAACGGCCTGGAAATGTCGAAGGTGCATCGCCCGTGAGCTTGGCTATTGCAGATGAAAGAGAAACGTTGGCAAAAATTTAATTTTTTTAAAGAAAATGAAGCAATTTTGCCATGATTGGAAAGTTTTTGATAGGAAAACAACAGCAGCTGAAGAAAATTTCAGCGAATTGCCAAAAAATCCATCCAATAACGGGATTGATAAAAATTAATTGTTTCCAACTCGGCCTTGTTCTTTCCCACCAAACACCGGTCGTCTCACTCTTGACTGCACGTCTCTTTGTTCAACACACAAGTCATGCGGCCAAACGGTCAAAAAGTTAGGTTATGTAAATGTCATTAAACAAAGCTTGATGAATTAAACTTTTTAAATTTTTTCTGAAATCCCCAATGTGCCAGACCTAAAATAGACCTCAAAACCCCGTACAACTGGTGAAGGAGAATTGGAAATGCCAAAATTACCATTCATAGTCCTACTGCTAAGCCTGCTAGCCTGCAAAGGTGAGCCCCCTTAATTTGGGTGTGGTTTTTCGCTCAAATTTGCCATTCTCTTAAAGGTTCGGCGTTTCTCTGGTGCTACCACTGTGTGTCCACACAACCGGGCTGTGGAAGCCCGCTAAACTGGTTGTGGCACTGGACCAAGACTTGTCCAGAAGACGACGATGTTTGCGTAAAAATCATCGAGGAAAAGGACGGTAAGGCTTCAGTCTGCCTGTTTTTTGGGCGGTTGATCCATGGGGGTTTTCAGGTGAAACTATGATAACCAGGGACTGTCTCAGCTCCATGAGGGGCATAAGGACCGATATTCCGGCGGACCATTACGAGGGCTGTCGGCCAGCCGCTGTTGATAGTAAGCTGGGCAATTACGTGAGCAACTCGATAAAGGAGCTGGATATCTACAGGTGAGTCCAAGTCTGTTTAGGAAAAGCTGCATGTTTACAGGTGACTGTTTTAGGAATTACTACGACAATACCACTTGGTGCTTCTGCTTTTTAGACCACCGATGCAACGACGGGTTAAGAGCCTCGTCTTCTGTTACCTTAATTTTAGGCCTGCTGGGCGTAGCAGTTTTCGCGTATTTAACGTAATACGCTCCAAAGATTTCCACATGGCAAGAATCTGAAAATTCCGTCCATTTATTCGTTTAATTCCGTACATTTTACAATATATATTTTATTAAAGACATTCTAAAGACTGAAGGTGGTTTGGCATTAAAAAACCCACTTATGCAGTGTAACATCTTTATTGAAGACTATTAAATCTCAATAAACTCCTATAATTTCGTAACATCTAATCAACATAAATCGACGAGTATGGGGGTGCGTAAAAGTATAAAATATTTGGGAATAACTAACCGAACGCACAGACATTAAAACATACAATAAAGGAAGTGGCCGGGTAAATATGTATTTTGTTCTATAGCCTTGTCGAAAATGAATCTTTAACGCAGAAATTGGCACTTACTGGGGATGATTAATCGGTGAATGGCAACCCGAGAAGAGTGAAGTTGAGCAATCCAGACAGAAAAATCCCTACTGCAACTGTCGTTCAACGGTAAAAGGATAATCGTACTCCTTGAGGATCTGTTGCATGGTTTTGGCACGAAGTTTCGGAGCCTAAAATCGCCCACAAATGGAGGTGAAAATGGATTTTCGCGGCATCAAACCTTACCCTAATGTCGCTAGGCGCATTATTGGTCAAAAATCGGGGATTCACAACGAAAGGCACCCCTTCCAGGCCGGCATGCGAACTCCCCAAAGTGTGAGTGGAGGTTTGATGCTGCAAACCGGGAAAGGCGGGGCCTGGAGGCTTTGGAGCGGGCCGAATGGGGCCAGGGGGTACGTATCCAGGTCCGGGTCTCAGAATTTCGTAGTCGTCGTCATTTCCTGTGGGAGAAGGGGATGAAAATGGGGGCAAAGCTTAAGCACCCAGTTCACCTAAAGGAGGATACACCCGGTTGCTCCCAGGGGATGCTTTGGGCGGCCTATCAGGCGGGCTGTGGTTGGTTTGGCTTCCTGATTCAACGTTTCCCATCTTGTAGCAAATTGTCACTCCGTTGATTTCACTGGGGGGCAACAAAATTTTGTTAAATAAACGTGAAGAAACAATGCAAAAAACACTGCTTTGCAGATTGTTTCCTAATGAACTTGTTGGCTTTTCTGCCTCTGTTCCTCAACAAGGCAATTTTAGTTCATTCGCGACCATTTTTCGAGCCGCAAACCAATCAAAGGCTCCTTTAATTCGTGGCTATTAAGCTTCCATAACCGGCAAGAGGAAATAGTGAATTTCTCGTTATTTGGTTTCTTACCCAGCAAAATTAAATCCCGCCGGAGCTTTTTTCAGTCGGTTACAAACAATGATATCAGTGATAGCAGTCTTCAGTTCCTTTAGATTGACTAGCTGATAGGCCAGCTGCCTTTTCTTCCACGGTCTCTGCTGGCTGTCCGCTGTCCTGTTTAGCAAACTGTATCCTTTTGGGGGCAGAGTTTTCTCAGCAAGCAGCAGAATTTCGCGTAGGGCAAAATTGGGAAGTCCCTCGGTTTTCGAAAGGCACAAATATCGGGCAGCACCAGTTTTGAAAATCGACTTTTCACCTAAATCCGCATCGGAATCCTGATCGTAGGTTTTGCTTATTGGGTAGAACCCCTTGGGGCACTGCGTACAGTCTTCCACTATCTGAAATGCGAGTTTTAAGGCTGCGGTGTTAAGGAAAAGCGCAGGCAAACAAACCTGGATGGCAGTGATAGGGCGATCATCTGGCAAAGTCTGTAAAAGTCTACTTTGCACTGATGATTTTAGCATTATCACAAACTGAGGACGAAACTGGAAAAAACGAGACGATTAACCATGGAAAAAGCCCCGATTGGGTGAAGATCATTTATTTGCTTCAATTTACCTGTCATTGCATTGAAATAAACCCACGCCATTCACTGGCCAGCCAATTGATTAAAATAGAACCAGACTGGAGAGTTTCTTAATTCTATACCGGGCTTATTTATTAAGGGGGCAACAAAGAAATTTAATATACGGGCACAAATAGTCAATTTGTTGTCAAGCACAGTAAGAATGATGTCAAAAGTGACAGGGGAAAGATAACCCCAAAACCAAAAAGGGAAAATTTACTTACCTAAATTAGTAAGTTGAACAAAATCTGGGAATTCCCACTATTTTCAGCCCACTGACTTAGCAGGTCAGTTCACCAGAACCGCAGATGAACTGGTAATTGATGATTCATCCATCCAATTAGTCCTCATCAAGCCGGATCCACTGCAGAATTCCTTTCTATTCTTGTTTACATAAAATCACTTATCTGGATTCCGGCAATAAGTGATAAGACTCCATAATAAATTAGCTCTTCAACCAACATTGTCATAAATGACAATAAAACTCGGGTTATGTGAGTTGTCATGCAAACAATCAGAAAAACTTGTGCAAAGTCCTGCAGAATTTGGCAAAAACCCCATTTGGCAGTAGCAGCCCCAGTTCTCCAGCCACTATCAAGATTTAATCAGATTCACACGGACACAAACAAAATGGTGAAGTTCCTGGGGCAAGAGGAAGCAATAAACATCGATGTGGAGCTGTTTAACGAATATAAATACTCAGTAGACCAGCTGATGGAGCTGGCAGGGCTCAGCTGTGCAGTGGCTGTAGCTAAATGTTACCCCCAAGCATCAATAGGCAACAAATCAGTGCTGGTTTGCTGTGGACCTGGTGGGTTTGTTTGAGCCCCCTAATGGTTAGAAGCTCTATAAGGCAGGGTTGCAGGCAACAACGGGGGTGACGGGCTGGTTTGTGCGCGGCATTTGAAGCTTTTCCACTACAGCCCAGTGGTTTACTACCCGAAGCAAACCAATAAGGAACTGTATCAGAACCTCACCCATCAGTGCACTTCCATGAACATTCCTGTCCTAAAGGTGAACCTGGGAAGCTTGTTCTAGTTCAGTTTTGAATTTTTGCTTTATTTCATGCTAAGTCATTGCCAGAGAGCAGCAAATTCGAAACTGACTATGGCTTGATAGTGGACGCTCTATTTGGCTTCAGCTTCAAGCCCCCAGTTCGAGAGGACTTTGTGCCAGTGATTGGTTTAATGAAAACCACCTCAGTCCCGATTGCCAGGTCGTTATTGGCTAATTTGGGTTAGTTTGGGTTTAATTCAGAGCTTTGCAGTGTGGATATTCCAAGTGGATGGAACGTGGAAAGTGGAGAACCCGAGGGAGGTGGCATTAAGCCCGAGCTTCTCATCTCGTTGACAGCGCCGAAAAAATGCGCTTCCCATTTTCAGGGCACGCACCATTATTTGGGCGGCCGGTTTGTTCCCCCTAAGCTAGCTGACAAATACCAACTGGATCTTCCAGAGTATTCTGGCACCGACTGCTGTGTCCCTTTAAATGTTTAAGTCTCTTAAGGTGAAAATAAAGTTGTTTGCTTACGCGTTTTCTGTTTGTTTATAAATTAAGTCTCTGATGATGGCTCAGAGTTGAATCTCAGTGAACTTATAGTATATCTATAAATGTACCCCAAGCTCAAGAGGCAGAGACAAGTCTTGTGGACTTGTCTCTGTCAAGAGCATAGAACAAGGCTTATATGGTCAAGAGGCTCTATATACAGTGCTGGGGAAATCGGTTTTCTATGATCGGTTCTTAACCTATGTTATGTTCTGTGGTTATGTTTATTTCAGAGGCTCATAACCTATTCGCTCGAAAGCAGTAGTTTATTCAGAGACAAGTACACTTGTCTCTGGTTTATTTAAAATTCATGCTCCAAAGCTTCTGCTCTTGTGTTTCACTTGTTTACAGGTGAAAACAACGTCCTCAAACATGTGTGAGGAAACGATAGCAACCCTAATCAAGGACATAAAGAGCCTGAAAGAGCAAATCCGCGAAAAGGAACAACTACTGGCAGCCCACTTGAAAGTTCAATCAAATGTAAGTAACCAATCGCCCCTTTTAGGGCAGGGAATTGAGCGGCTGGCGTCTGTTTAGGTTCCTTGCAAGTACTCAGAGGCGCTACAGACCAATGAAATTGCCCGCTACAGCCGCCAAATGCTGGTAGACGAGGTGGGACTGGCTGGTCAGATCAGCTTAAAGGCTAGCAAAGTGTTGATAGTAGGAGCTGGAGGACTTGGATGTCCCGCAGCTGTTTATCTGGCAGGAGCTGGTGTTGGTAGGCTCCAAAAGCTTTGGTTTATACACAGAGCAATCAGTCATTTATTATCATATTCCAGGGCAAATCACCATAGTGGACTATGACGAAGTGGAACTGTCCAACTTGCACCGGCAAATCTTGCACTCGGAGGACGATGTAGGGGCCTCCAAAGTCCACTCTGCTTACGACAAGCTGCACAGGTAGAGACCTTTTCTCCCGTTTGGAGCTTGGTAATGTAGGGATATTTCCAGCTTAAACAGATCCATCCAGATCATCCCCTTAAAGATGCACGTGAACAGCGCTTCAATCAGCCAGCTGATGAGCGACAACAGCTACGATGTAGTCATCGACGGCAGCGACAATGTAGCTACCAGATACCTACTGAATGACGCCTGTGTGCTGAACAAAATGCCCTTGGTATCGGGCAGCGCCTTGCAAACAGAAGCTCAGCTCACAGTGTACAACTACAATAATGGGCCGTGCTACCGGTGTCTGTTCCCAGTGCCTCCGCCCCCCGATACAGTGAAAAGCTGCGGAGATGGAGGAGTTCTAGGGCCAGGTTGGAGTAAGTTTTGCTGGATGTGAACCGAAGTAATTTCCCTTAAAGTTCCAGGCGTTATCGGCTGCCTCCAGGCCTTGGAAACGATCAAAATCCTCACTAAATCAGACGGAGTTTTGGCGGGGCGTTTTCTACTGTTCGATGGCTCCACATCAAGGTTTCGCACGGCGACGCTGCGCCCCCGAAGCCCTGAATGTGCTGTTTGTGGCCACCATCCTACTGTTAAGGAGCTTCAAGACTATGAACAATTTTGCGGCGCTGGGGCCCATGATAAGGCTTGTTTTCTAATCGAAAGCTCATCAATGGCTAATTGACCCGCGCTTTTCAGGTAGTTTCTATCGATATTTTAAGGAGCGTTGACCACATCAACCCGCAGCAGCTCGAGAAAGTTTTGGAAGACTCTCTGGTGGTGGACGTGAGGGACCAGGCGCAATATCGCATGTGTCATCTGCCCAAAACCGTTAATATTCCCTATGGGGAGATTCTGAAGGCCGAGGGCGCAAAGAAATTCAGCGACTGCTTGGAGGCAGCGGGCAAACGTGAAGGTATTTAGAGGAAGTTGTGGCTAATTTCTCTTTTAAAGCAGGAGTTTTTGCAGTTTATTTCCTCTGTAGGCGGGGCAACGACTCACAGCGGGCCCTCGACCACCTTAAGCAGGTGTTTAGCGGGTCGAATGTGAATTTTTTTAATGTCAAAGGGGGCCTTGAAGCCTATTCCCATAATGTAGACGCGGATTTTCCTATTTATTAAATTGTTTTTTATAAACATTCCTAGTGTTTCAATCGACTTGTGGTTTGTTGTCGCTTGCACGCATTGGCGCTTATCAAGCAACCGCCAGTTACAGTGTTGTTCTAGGCTAGTCTTTATTCTTCAGAACATAAACTAGAGTCTAGGTCCCAACTAGGGCCCGGAATTTTTTAAAATCTGATATTCGAATATTCGTTTAGTGGTTCATTCGAATAGTAAAATTATTCGAATACTCAAATATCTAACGAATATTCGAATAATCGAGTATTCGAATACTCGATTATTCAAATATGCTATATGCTTTATTTTTCTGAAAAACTAGGCTAGGATGAAATAATACATGTATTTAATTTTAATCAGCGTTTTTTTATTTCTATTAAGTAAATGTCCAACAGTGTGACAATGTACAATGTAGAATTCAAGCTCGTGGCGATACGAGTATGTCCATTTTTAGAACTTTTGGGAATTTACCCGAAGAATCAAATTTGCGGTGAAATAGTTACAGAAATAAAAATATTTCAATACAAACGAACCAGCAGCAAATGTTTCATCTTCTTTTGCTTTATCTTTCAAACCTTAATTTTTTACTGCTTTGTTATTGTGCCATAAACCGATTTTAAACAACGTTTTTAATTTATCTGGTTTTTCATTAATAAATTAATAGCAATTGTTTCTTGCTCGATCCGGTTAGGCTTCTAAATTTTGTTAGTTTTATGTTTTTTTATTTTTTTGGTGCTAAATAACCTTCTTTGTGTCTCATTTTTTTTGTTACTAGCTGGTGTTCCGTTGGGTTTTAGATTTGCGCCTAATGAAATGGCATCTTCCTGACGCACAGCCCTCAATGTCGGTCCCAGCGGTGCGAAGAACTTTTCAGCACTGAACAATAACAGCACTGAATTATTAATATATTAATTTAATTTATCACTTTTCCTATTAATTCTTTTTTTCTGTCCGATAAAGTCCTTTGGACTTAGAATGTGGTGTTTTCGGTTGATTGCAGGTGATGGAAAATCACTGCAGAATTTGCTAATTTTGAGTGCTCTAAATTTGGAAGCTGCTGGTCGTTAAACTCTAAAAATAAACTAAAAATTTGTCAAAAATAAATCCAGGTGTACCAAAATTATGTGGTCCTAGCGAAACAGTGATCTCTGATATAGAAAATAATATTAGTTATGTAAATAGACACGTATCTAACGGAACTACGCTTTCTTTAAAAAAGACCTATGAGTACAACTTTGTCGTGAACATGTTTTTAAGGAAAATGAGATGCAGCTCCGCTAGACAGCAGTTCTCGATACTAATATTTATTTTCAAAGCAGATTTCCCTGAGAGACCAGAAGTATAGCATTTTAAAAATAATGATTACGATATACATATGTTTAAATATCAATTTATAGGAATAAAAAATATTTTAAATACCTTGAGAAAATGTAACCGGATTAAATGCGTGGACTGTAAGTTTTCTTTGCTGAAGGAATCTGCAAACCAAATGCACATGTTTGCACATGTTCCAGCGAATTGAACCATCGATACAATCACGGGAGTACGTATGTATGCAACATTCGCATTCATCACAGTGCAACTGACAATCACATCCACTCCTGTTCTCACAAACGGTGTATATATTGTTTGCTACAGATGCAGTCATAATCTGCCAAATGCCACTACTAACTTCAGATACAGATCCTTCATCTAACGTCAAACTTATGCGATGCCTTTTTTTTAATTTAGTTGATTTGGAAGTTACTTTTCCCTTATTTAACATAATTAACCGGTCAAAAAGGCGATCTCTAACCAGCTTCATTAAGGCCCCTAATGCTTTATCAAGCCTTTGTACATTTTTTCTTTGCAAATATATATATTTTATTGATTTATGCATTCGTTCAATATGCATATTTGTATTCAAACCACAATGAACTCTATAACTGTAGGCCCAGCTTATGCAATTATTTGAATAATGATTTTCAAAATAATGACCAAACTTGTAACTGAACAATGAATTCTTGGATCATCCTCTCGAAAGCAGTAGAATCTGTCTCCTGCATAAGTGTTCGCAGAATTTTGTATACACCGTTCTAAAAACAATTTTTTTTGATAGGGGAATTTCAATGAAAATAATGCTACTGACCTGCTTATCTCTTAAGTTTATTAAACTCAAGTTTTTTCTCCACGCTCTATCAACATGCCAGCTGCAATACAGTCTAAAACATAAGCAAAATATCAGCACAAACAAGTAAGCAATAGATTTGAACCTATTTCCGGTAAAGAGCAGGTGGCATTACTTCTAACTAGGGCTCGGAATTTTTAAAAATCTGATATTCGAATATTCGTTTAGTGGTTTATTCAAATAGTACAATTATTCGAATATTCGAATAATCGAGTATTCGAATAGTCAGGTATTCGAATATTCGAGTATTCGAATACTTGAATACTCGAATAATTGTACTATATTAATTGTAACACCGCGTAAAAGTTGATGACGTGTATCACCAGAACATAGAGACGTAATTTTACATTCATTTGCAGGAGAGTAAATATGATTATTTTCATTTGCTTGTAAATATATGGATATTTGCTTAAATGCTTGTAGAATAGGAATAATTTATTTTACAAGTATACAAAGTGCATATAAAGATATTTGCACCTTGTGAGTTTGATAATGTTGGTGTATTCGAGTATTTGAATATTCACCTTTTCGAGATCGCCTTTTTGACCGGTTAATTATGTTAAATAAGGGAAAAGTAAGTTCTAAATTAACTGAATTAAGAAAAGGGCATCGCATAAGTTTGACGTTAGATGAAGGATCTGTATCTGAAGTTAGTAGTGGCATTTGGCAGATTATGACTGCATCTGTAGCAAACAATATATACACCGTTTGTGAGAACAGGAGTGGATGTGATTGTCGAATATTCGAATAATCGAGTATTCGAATATTCAAGTATTCGAATATTCGAATATTCGAATATTCGAATTATTCGAATAATTGTACTATTCGAATAAACCACTAAACGAATATTCGAATATCAGATTTTTAAAAATTTCGAGCCCTAGTTAGAAGTAATGCCACCTGCTCTTCTGCAATCTGCAAACCAAATGCACATGTTTGCACATGTTCCAGCGAATTGAACCATCCCTACAATCACAGTAGTACGTATGTATGCAACATTCGCATTCATCACAGTGCAACTGACAATCGCATATTCGGATATTCGAATATTCGAGTTATGACTACACATAATTATTCGCTTTTCGAATATTAGAATACTCGAGTTTGATTCCTAGCCCTACTTCTAACCATGCATTGTAGTATACATCAGCCATATCTGACATAAACACATTGGTTTCAATTGGTCCCACTTCTGCTCTTATATAACTGAAGAATATCTTCATAGCAACTCCATCACTTCTGTTTGATACGCAAAAGGCACATGGAAATCCTTGCCTTAACTCATCCAATGTGTGTGTAACTCATCCATGCCAATCAACTGTGAGTAAAGTGTGTAATTCGAAATTATACCCATTTAGCCCATGAGTTCCATCGATACACAAACAATTCTTCGAGAAAATTTCCATAATAATAAGCATGAAGTCCTCTTTTCTTAGTTGAGGATATGCCTCTAAACATATGCCTTGTGGTTTCTAAAAAAGTACACATTAACTTCTCATTTCTTCCAACCAAGCATCCACACTAACCGCATCATTAGTATGTCTTTGTGACTTTGAATGCAAATTGAAACAAGCCTCAATATTAAAAACATCTTTTTTCGTAAGTAGATGCAATCTCTCTAAATATGATGCGGTTACTGAATCACGTATGTCATCTAATATAGCATCAAAGGGAATTTTCATTGCTATCTTTGTAGCTATCATAGTACGCTCCTCTTTTGTCAAAAATAAGTGGGATAAATCATTTTGATGGCCAACATGAGTTCTGACAAATGTTATTTCATGATTCCCTCGTTCATTATCAATAACCACCTGTATACCAGCAGGACAGTATTCATTAATTTTTTTGGTTCCTTGGGATTTCAAATGTCGAACGCCCAAGCTTCTTGATTTATAAAAACCAGAACGGTGACAGATATAAGTGACATTCGTTTCATTTGTAGAAACAGAAGTTTTTTCCGCTATAAACTGTGTTAGAGATTCTTTCTGAGTATTGGAAAACCAGATACTAAAATTTTCAGAAGAATCAAAGTGCAGCTTTTCTACTTTAAGATCAATATCGTGAGCTTCTTGGAAATGTTTGGTGAATTCAGTCTTGTATTTTCCCACAAAGTCGCACAGGGGACATTTCTTTTAACTGGCACTACATTTCTCTCCGATAACTTTTCCTGGTTTTCTGGCAAGCTCCCTAAAAATATATTGTGTTGTAATATTTACGTATGTAACCACCTATAAGACCTAAATGTATTCTCTCTACAGGTGTCCCATCGGGAACCACCGCGATCTCCAATGTATATATACAGGGTTGCTCATTAGTGCGTCAAAGTGCGATATCTCAGTAAATATGAAGTTTACAAGAAAATTCGTCCAACGAAAGTTTTTCACGTTTAAAAGGTCCACATTCTAAAATTACTTTCCAATATACAGGGTGCATCATAAACGTGTGGTAGTTACCAACTCTGGTTTTTTAAATGAAACCCCCCCTTTTTTTTGTTATTTTCAGATTGGCCGTTCAATTTTAATTTATGTTTGTTTCAACCGTTT